TAGACATTGAGGTAGAGGCAGTCCTCGCTCTGGTTCTGGATGTAACCGGCCGCCACGTCCAGGTTGTCTGTGAACCACACGGGCAGCATTATCTCCGGCAGTACACCGTGAACATTTTGAGGGCACACAGGGGCAAAGAGGGTGGCGTTGCGGATCTCCTGCCAGGATCCCGGGGCCTCAGGTGGCTGAAAGCGGCGATCGCCGATGGGCGCCGTGGCGTAGGGCACACCCAGGTACTGCTCCACAGGGCCAAGAATCTCATTGTTCAAGTCCTTCTTGATGCCTCTGAGCTTGCCATAGTTAGTGGTCACGATAGGGTGTTTAGAAGGATCCATCTTCTGGCTCGAGGCTAGACTGAAGAGCAGAATGAGGCCTAGGACGCTCATGAGGCACCAGTCTGTCATAAGGCTGAGGTGGCTTGTCCTGGACGACAAACTCCGCCGACTCTGTCTATTTATAAAGAATGGAAGGGGCTTCATGACTGAGTTCATACTGTTCAGCCACCTGCTTTTAGTCAGTTTGGGAAAACGTCTCTCTTTATGAGTAAAAGTGGATTATATCCAACGATCTGGAAGGTAAAAAACCCTTAATGACTAAAAAGGAGCTTTTTTAGAAACTCGACCAAGACTAAGGGCGCTGACTGAAGGTGAAGTGGAGGACAAGGCAGCTGCTTGGGAGAGAAGGGTCCTTTGGGCTCTGGGTGCCGGATAAAGGGGTTTGGACCTTGGAGTGGCTGCCAGGTCAGTGGTGATTCTGAGCAACGGTGATCCGAAACACTTCCCAAGCCATGGCTCTGTTGCGTTCCATACCTATTCGTCCTCAATTATCCAGATAATTGGATTGATGATGAATTCTGCAGAATGAGACAGAGAAGCAGGGGGGAGGAGGGAAGAGATTTAAGGGACGGTGATAAAGAGAGAGAGAGAGCGGGGGCGGGGGGAGGGAGGAAGAAAAGATAAAAGAGATTAAGCTTATCTGAAACAGAAATATATTCCATTAAATGTTGTCAGTTCAACATTTTTTCACCTTCAGCTGTTGCCAAGGGACCTTTTTCCTTTTTTTTTTTCCTGAAATGAAAGATTTTCTAAATCCAGAGCCAGTGTTGTGGAGATCAAACTAACATTTTGGGAGCATTTCATGCAACGATCAACGTGTTTCACTTCAAGTTGTTACATCACGAGGCTGAAAATGTTTCTCTCCAACATGGACGGAACAACAAAAACAAACACAATGACACAAATGCAGTTTCTGCCATTATGTTTTTACTTCCTCTGGCCTTTGCAACATAATCCCATATATGCTCCTTGCTGAGTGCACATTTCTACATGTCTCTCTATTATGTATGAAAATCCTGCTGTCCCAGTGCGACCTGCATGAGGGCACGATCCCTCCAGGCAGGCCGAGCTCAACCTGGCAGCTAGCACGCACGCATCTCTGCCGAGTTTTCACCGAACAACGCCGCTAGCGATGTCTCAATATTTCTGGTTATTAAATTCCTCGAGGCTTCAGAGTTTCTCGTGGAGGCAACACTACAGACAGTACAGTAGACAGCGTTGGTGGACGAGTAGAAGCTGGAGATTAGGGCGAGCCTTTCACTGCCCAGTAAGGTCAAATGTCAATAATGTGCGCCTGTAAGCAGCTTAGAACAGCCCAGCTGGGGCGCTCTCTGGCTATACGCAGAACACAGAGACACACTCGTAGCATTAACTGAGCCACACATGAATGAAAGCCCACATTGTGTACAGCCATTCATGTAATCTACAGCGGAAATGTGCAAATCCTCATCTAACAGATCCAGAGTCAGGAAATGCACGAGGCGAGGAGGAGATTAGGCTGCCGTTACGTTGTTGCGTGGTGTTATGTAACGGTGCGGGGCGCACAAGGCCCGGCAGTAAGTAACGCTGGGAGTACAGTGAGATATCTCCTCA